TTCATTGATATTTAAATGTAAAAAAGTCAGTTCTTTTCACTATTCTTGTATTGGTATTTCCAGATCTTAGATTGTATGGGATACTCCGTTTTTCCTGTTGCGGGACTAAAAAGGATATAGGATGACTTTCGTTTCTCATATCTGACATTAGCTTTTTACATAAAAAATCTCTCATGGCTGCGTTATAGAGTGAAGTCAAAAGAAGGAAAAAAGGAAAATACCATGAAATTATACCTTACGATTTAATTGATATGCCTCTTTTTGATAGTAGTCAAATTTTGTTTCACGACTTGTTTAAGGAACTCAGCCTAAACCTACATTTGATGACAATTAAAGTGATAGACACAAAAGAAAACAATGCAATAATAACGAGAGTCATTTTCATCCGTCTGTGAAACAATTACTACTAGTCAGTGTTTAATAGTAACTATTAGGGTGTAGAGCAAATGCAGGAAAACCATGAAATACAGTGGTTTTCATAAACCCGTGAAACAAAGAGTAATAATTAGAGTGTAATAGATCGTAATAGTCGCGTAGAGACAATAAAAAACAAAAGAGCCMAAGTGTAATAGCGATAAATGCGCTAAAGTGTGTTTCACTCTAAAACCAACCTAAATACTAACAAATAGCGCCTATTTAGAGACAAATTGTCAGTATCAATGAACCAGAACGCAATATATAAAGATGAATGAAAAATGGTCCCATGTGGATTCATCTTCATTGTCTTCTGGCTCTTTGATACTGACAAATTGTCTCTAAATAGCCGCTATTTGTTAGTAWTTAGTTTGGTTTTATTTCATGGTTTTCCTGCGTTTGCTCTAGTAGGCTACCAAAAAGCAAAAACCAAAACCGTGTTTGTCTAATTAGTTTGTCGCATGTCATAAGTTAAACTATTGGGAGCTAATAGGGGATAATAGTATTTAATAGTACAATTCTTATTTCACAGACGGATGAAAATGACTATAGCAACATAACAATTTTACTAGAGTGGTTTTCATAAACCCGTGAAATACACTTTAGTTTAATACACTTTAGTACACCCTAATACCATTGTTTTCTTTTGTTGTCATCTGACTATTACACTTTAACTAATAGTTTTTGTTTCACGGGTTTATGAAAACCACTCTAACAAATAATAACCATGGTTAAAGATTATTCAACCTACAAATAGCTTAAAGATAGTCCGCGTAGGTTAAATTAAGCTATTAATGAAAAAAAGATAGCTAAGAATAACAATAAAAATAGATCATTACTATTATTATCAATTCGTAGAAATATAGAGTAACAGCAAGAAGAAATCGTAAGAGAAGGACAATATTCAAATATATATTTACAAAATTTTTGTGATGTCAACATCATAGCTGTTGTACTTGAATCATGAAAAAAAAATCGGACAAGTAATATACCGATCATGCAAACGCAGGAAAACCATGAAACAAAATCAAACTAAATACTAACAAATGGCGGCTATTTAGAGACAATTTGTCAGTATCAATGAACCACAACGCAATGAAGATGAATCCACATGGGACCATTTTCAAYTCATCTTCATTGCGYTCAGGGGGAGGGGGGACTCCCTTATAAAAGTTGGTAGGTAAGCTCGACAATGACCCTAAAAGGTACTCATAAATCAATTCAGGTATCGATTCAGACCCTAAAAGGTACCACCATTTTTGAAGCTCAAGTTTAACAAACTGTAGAAAATCAATGTAGATAGATTGTTGAGTGGTTGAGGTTAATAAAATCTGTTTCTTTATAACACTTCTTCAATTTTWTCCTGTTGTTCGAAAATTGACCCTAAAAGGTATGGAGTCAGCTCAGGATCCTAAAAGGTACDCGAGGGTTTTATTTTTGACCCTAAAAGGTCTATTGAGCATACCTACCAACTTTTATAAGGGAGTCCACCCCCGGGAGTCCCCCCAAGGCTCTATGTAATAGTATCTGATTCTACAGGCGAGGACCCAAACGCGAGAAGAAATTTCTTTGAATATCTAAGGGCGAATATTGTGCAATTAGAGCGTACTAAGGTGTATTAGTATAATTAATATTTAGATCAAGAAAAAACARGAAACAAATCAGAATTYGAAATATCTCGCCAAAGTTTTTGAAAATCAACTTCCTCGAATTAGCGTGCTGTGTGGTATCCAATTATACAACCATTATACCTTCATTAAGAAAAAGTCTCAAATGAAATTACGTGGTGATATATATTCCAATCACTCAAATTAATGAGTTTCTAAAAAGTATAAAAGAAAAGCTATAGCAACAGAAAAGATGCTGAGGAATAGTAGAAGTTTGTTTATTACGTTTTCGCGTCATGATGAAAGTACTTATAGTGGTGATTTCGCTCCTTGTATGTTTAGCCACATCTGAAGCAAGAAGACGAACAGATAGATTTTTGGCTGGAAAAAGGTTTGGCATTCAAGAAGCTTCACAATCAGACTCAGGAGAGGGTTACTATGGAGGTCCGGCGCTASAGAWAAGAGAAGRGATGACAATAGGACCTCCTATAMYGCCACCGGGAAAACGAGCTTACAGATGGATGTAAAACTAGCATGGTAAGAGAGACCCTTGAATAAGCATACCCTTACCAATTCCGATTCAACAGATTCAACCTACGCCTGTCTATATACCGCCGCTCTTTCATGACGAACCTACCAAAACKTTTAAAGCCTTTTTAAATATATTTTGAATAAATTGAACGCATATGGTTATTTTTTACGCGAATGCTGGAATGATTCAATGATCAAAAACTTAACCAATACATAATGTGCCATAATTTTCTCTTTGCTGGCCATAGGTAAATTTATTGACACCACTGTCCCAAAACGCTCAGAACACGGATATAGCCAATCACAATTGTTAAGCAGACAAGTAATAACTWATCGATCTTTCTCTGGGCGGATAGTCTAGGCTAGAAAAAAAACAACGTTGTCGAGTTGTTTCATTTTAAAGTGCAGCGTGTATTCGAAAGCCTTTGCATTCTCTATATATTGTTTTACAAAAAATCTGTTGCTGAAAGTTTCTTTCTGATGATAGAAATCAAAATATGTGAGAAATGCGCGCGGATGCCGGATGCCCGGAAGCCTTTAGCTTTTAGTCATATCTTAAAAACTTGCAGGTACTAACTCGACAATATCCGTATCAGTGCCGCGAGTTGTTCATAGCCCGATCAGCGCTAATCCTGGGTTAACTCGTAGAAAACCTATAGAGTTAACCCTGGATTAAAGCTAATCGGACCAGAACTTCTTTTAATTTTTGTAATAATTATATATTTTCAGAGCTACCAGACAGGGATCGACAACATTATGTACTTGGGCATACCAAGATATTTAAAAGGTGGATTTCAAAGTACTTAATTAGACGTAAAAACAAACAAACTGCATAACGTTTTGTAGCATGGAAAGATAAAAGGAAAATGTAATGTAATATTATAGAGGAAACAGAAAATAAAGAAAAAACATTCACAATAAATKACTCAATTCATAATATTATTTAAAAAGGGGGAAAGATGGAACTTGGATTTTCAAACAACGGAGTCTTCCGCCTTATCTGACCATGCAAACAGCAACGACCATGACATTGCCTGGGATGACAAAGATCTTAGCAACAGAAAGTCGAAAGAATAAGCGTAGATGGACGGAGGCATGGTTCATATCTAAGAACAATAATGTTTTGTTTAATAGAGACTGTGGACGCCTGTTACCAGAAGTATATCGTCCCATTTTAACTAAAAATTAATATTCTTAGCTTGTGTGCGCGCGCATCTGTAGCGCGCTCCATTAATTGTTTTCAAGTCGGTTTTTCAAGTCGCCAGCGCGCGCTCGCCTGTTTAGTCAAAAACATCATACTTTTATCGCATAAAAACACATTTTCACACATTTTTGTTTTTAAAAAAGGTATAACTACCGTTACTAAACTAAGTTGTGTGCTAAACCTCTTTNAATGAATTAAAAATTAGAGAACCAAATATTAAAAACATAGCAGAAAGATAATAAAGAATGGGGAGAAAGTAGAAAGGGCAACGTTAACAAAAGCCTGAAAATCTGTAGCAAAGTGAAGAGAAGAATCAAACACAGTAATTATAAACTGTGTGCCGAACTCTTAATCAATATATAATTCTAGAATTTCTCATCACCAGTGTCTATAATAAACGATTCGTAGAGACATGTTGTCTATCAATTCAAACACCGACTCAATTTCGTGCAATAGTCTTTTAATTATACTAATATTTATGCAGTAAATGTTTGATATCAAAAACAGCTGTATATTATTTAGATTTATTCAATTTTAACTTCCTCATATTGATTTTCCTGAATTTTCCTTTTACTCCGTGTTTAATCATCAACAATTGCTATCGTATCGAAAGCTGCGATAACATGTTGCCAACGCAAACACCGTTCAGATATTTGTCAATATAAGCGAAGTTCCATCAATGAATAAAAAGGAGGTTAACCTTGTTAGAAAGAGCATTATTGCGTGTATTAATTCTAAGATTACAGGCAACAGCTGTTGTTGTTATAACTGCTTTTTCAGGAMATAGTTACTCAGATAGTATAATGAAGTCGTTATAATAATAAKAAGAAGAATAAGATAAAGATGGATTATTTTCACTTCTTGCAGTTAGAAAAAAACTGAATAAACAGTGAGATTTRCATAAAYGAGTAATAGGAAAACTATAATATATGATAAATATAAAAAGATTAAGGAAACTATAATAAATATTTACTTTTTACATGTTAGACTACTAAATAGTGTTCATTGATATTTAAATGTAAAAAAGTCAGTTCTTTTCACTATTCTTGTATTGGTATTTCCAGATCTTAGATTGTATGGGATACTCCGTTTTTCCTGTTGCGGGACTAAAAAGGATATAGGATGACTTTCGTTTCTCATATCTGACATTAGCTTTTTACATAAAAAATCTCTCATGGCTGCGTTATAGAGTGAAGTCAAAAGAAGGAAAAAAGGAAAATACCATGAAATTATACCTTACGATTTAATTGATATGCCTCTTTTTGATAGTAGTCAAATTTTGTTTCACGACTTGTTTAAGGAACTCAGCCTAAACCTACATTTGATGACAATTAAAGTGATAGACACAAAAGAAAACAATGCAATAATAACGAGAGTCATTTTCATCCGTCTGTGAAACAATTACTACTAGTCAGTGTTTAATAGTAACTATTAGGGTGTAGAGCAAATGCAGGAAAACCATGAAATACAGTGGTTTCCGTAAACCCGTGAAACAAAGAGTAATAATTAGAGTGTAATAGATCGTAATAGTCGCGTAGAGACAATAAAAAACAAAAGAGCCAAAGTGTAATAGCGATAAATGCGCTAAAGTGTGTTTCACTCTAAAACCAACCTAAATACTAACAAATAGCGCCTATTTAGAGACAAATTGTCAGTATCAATGAACCAGAACGCAATATATAAAGATGAATGAAAAATGGTCCCATGTGGATTCATCTTCATTGTCTTCTGGCTCTTTGATACTGACAAATTGTCCCGAAATAGCCGCTATTTGTTAGTAATTAGTTTGGTCTAGCGGGCGACCAAAAAGCAAAAAGCAAAACCTTGTTTGCCTAATTAGTTTGTCGCATGTCATAGAGTGATTTTCATNGTGTTCAATCTCGTACCCAGAGCCCGCACTTTTGCCATCCAGTGGTTGTCAATGCGTGCATACCGCTGACATTAGCCGTGAAGACTCTGGGCTCGAGATTGTCATGTGTTATATTATATATATAAGTAGGGGAAAGTTTACCATAATGAGCTGAAACTTCACAGGGGTGTTGAGAAAAATAAGAACACTATGTTGCAGTTTGAAATATTTTATTCAGTTTTACCACTTTTATCGAACTTTTCGTTCTTGGGCTACCTGTGTGTAAATACGAAATTATATCAGTGATATAAGATAAGTGAAGGAGGGGAGATATCAAAGAAAAACGGCAAATTACGCCTAAATTCATAACTAAGACYACATCATAAGGTAAGACAAATGTTTTTTTACTTATTTTTTCTTTCAAAAATTTCGTATTTACATGCATTATAGATATTGCTATAATCTGCTAGTTAAATGCTTAGCTTATCTTGGGCTGCCTGTGGTAGGATCTGTCATTCGATTTTCATATTCTATATGGATGTATATATGCAGGCTAACTGATGTACGTACAGGGCCTCTCATGTACACATTGAAGATTATTAATAATCACAATCGCAACCACGATCGCAATCGCAATCGCAACCTGACAATCGTAATCGCAACCGCACTCACAATCAGCAATCACAATCGCAATCGCAATCACAATCGCAACTGCAATCACAACTGATATCATAGCAATGTTTGATAACAATGATAATAAAGATAAAGTCTGGCATATATATGTATACTCGGGATTCCTGTCTTATTGACGTGGTAGATCCTCTGATTGTTGGACTTCCTGTTGTTTAATAAACACTTTATAAAAAAAATAAATTCTTTCAAATAGAAATGCTATGGGTTCAAAGAATAAACAACTTCCACCGCCAACGCCATTTAATTTCCAAAAATTATCCGAATGGCCAGAATGGCTGAAGACGTTCGAAAAATACCGAACTTTCAACAACCTCGATGGCGAAGACGACGATTTTCAGATTGCTGTATTTCTGTATACAATGGGGGACATGGCAGCGGACATTTTTCGAAGTTTTCGGTTCAGAGAAGAYGAAGAAAAGAGCTATTTTAACGTGAAGATAAAATTTCAAGAATTCTTTGCAARTCAGGTACTTTTAGTATAGTGAAAACGCAGGAAAACCATGAAATAAAACCAAACTAAATACTAACAAATAGCGGCTATTTAGAGACAGATTGTCAGTATCAATGAACCAGAACGCAATGAAGATAAATCCACATGAGACCATTTTTAATTCATCTTGATTGCGTTTTCGTCATTGATACTGACAATTTGCCTCTAAATAGCCGCTACTTGTTAGTATTTAGTTGATATTATTTCATGGTTTTCCTGCATTTGCTGTCGGAGTATATTTTGTAAAAAAAAAAATAAAAATAAGAATAGTAATAGAAAAATGCATTTCTAAATTGCACACGGCAAAGTTTAACGACAAAATGGTCATGCATTTTAAAACTGCTTTCTTCGGGGAGGCGTCTAGACACATTTTCCTTTTTGTGAAATAAGCCATATTGTCACCTGAATTCTGAAATGTAAAGACAGATACATCTTACAAAGGAAAATGCAAGTGAGTGTCATTTCTTTGTAAACGTTGTACCTTTCAGAATTTTCAACGGATCTGTTAGTCCCAAACTTGGCAAATTTTCTATTGGCGATTTTTGGCTACATTTTTTTAGTGGATTTTTTGTAAATTAAATATATAGTGCATTTGCTTTCATCCCTGTGAACAGACTCTTAGTATGCTCATCTCAAATTTTACTATATTTCACTAAGGTGAAAATCGCCGTCGAAATTGCCGCAAATAATCGCCATAATAAGCGGGGTTTACGACAAGAAAAAGGTCACGACCAATTTCTTACATTTCGTGAAATTTAGGTATTTCTGTAAAATATAATGGAATATTTCGCAGGGAACAACGCATTTGTTTCAGACCAATTGATCAACGTTTTATTCAGGAACTGACAATTTTATTCGGCTGTGGTTCAATCTAGGCTTGAAAAACCTCGGAATTGTAGGATTGTTATTAAGAAACTTAACTGTTATCGCAAATGTTACCAGTTTGCTAGTATTTGTGTTTATGAATAAATGTTTAACATTCAGCTGGTGACAAATGTATAACTATCACATACGACAACTAAAAATAATAAAACAAGGAAGAAAGAAAAGAAACATCGATTAAGGCATAAGCGACTGAAATGGCGAGTTAGACGACTGAAATGCCATGGCGAGTTAGACAATGTCTTAAAATATAATTGTCCTTATAACTATGAAAGTAATAGTTAATAAAACATGAGAGGCATAGCAATTATAAAACATACACAAAACAATGAACTTATTTGAAGAAAAATAGAAAGAAAAATTAAGTATTCATTCATTCTTCATTTCAGATGGAACCCGAGAAACCGCCAGATATTACAAAATGAACAAAACGAAGAGTGCTGTGGCCGTTCAATTCGTTGTGCCGACTTGAAATTTAACTCGAAAAAGAAAAAAAAAACTGTTTTTATTTATTTTTCAAGACTGTTTTCTTAATATTAATTAAGAACAGGTACATTTATTTACACTGAAAGTGATGGACATCGCACATTTTATATTATAAATTCATTTGACAAATAAAAATGTCCTCTTCACAATTCATATTAAAACATATTATTTATAAAATGAGGATAATATCGCGAATCGGATCTGTAAGGAGACAAAAAACAATTCTGAATTCTTCTCTATTTTAATTAATATTTAGCAGGTATGTTTATTTAAAATTGATAACTGGTATCAGATGTTCAAATAAGCGAGGCATACATTATGATTAATGCCCGCGCCGGCTGTACCAATGTTGAATAAAATTATCCACTCCTTGGATAGCCTGAGTATCAGGCTCTCTCTAAGGGGATTGGGGCGGCGCGAAGAGAGAGCCTGATACTCAGGCTACTCCTTGGACTTGTATAGGATTTATCCGATGGATATCACTGTTCGCCCTTTGTAAAACTAAACACAGGGCACAGCTTTTGTACAAATGTTGGATTGAATTATACGGATCCGGAAATTCTACATATGCCTATTAGGAATGCCTTTTCTATTTGTTAATTTGGCCCTGCCAGTTGCCGTCCAAAATAGCATAATGTCATCCAAAAGAATTCTCTTTTGGTGACCAAAAACAAACGTTTTGAATACACAAACCTTTTAGTTGGTTTAAGACAGGGAAGTTTTTTCCCTTTTCTATCTTTGAAAGAGAAAGAGAATCTACCTTTTAGACCTCTTGTATGTGACGTCAAAACAACTTCATCTGGAGGACAAAACAAAAGATTTTTGCCCTTTTGGGAACTAGAATCCGTTATTTTGTCCTCCAGTTGGAGCTGCACTCCCATGAACTGCAAGGGATCTATTAGCTTAAATGTCTAGAAAACATCTTTTCTCTCCTAAGGATAAGTCATGGATATCTGACCAAGGTCCTGTTCCCAAGTCTGGATAGCGTCGTTTTCTCTCTCCCCAGGATTCAAAAGAGGGTCTGCCATAACGTATAACATATCGATGGCTATTTTTTCATGAGAATAGGTAATATATATCCACGGTCACAAGGCATGAAAAAGTCCATCTCTTAAAATCTAAAGCAATCTTCGGTTTCTATTCATTGGCTTGAGAAAGGCCTGCTACGCTATATTTCGTGGCAGAGRCATAGTACAAAMGAAATCACAACTTTAAAAAATCATATTTTTTTCCCTCCAAACATGTATTTGATTTGCCAAAAATAAATTTGACTCTCCCCTCCCTATGTTAGTCATTTGTGTTACCCTTAAGTCAATGAGTAGTTTTCAGTGAGGATAGATAATTCATATCTACAGTATCGTGTATAACATGACCAAGGCTGTGGAGGTCTTCTAAGATAATCTTGGTATTGTAGGCTATGTCCTGTATGATAAGAATCATTGACGTGTTATTAAGGGGTAAATTACAACAAATTTACAAAAGAAGCAGATACAAGATCAAAGAACAAAACAACAACAATAGCAACAACAACAACAATTTCAACAACAATTTCAACAGCAACAACAACAACAACAACAATTAAAACACCAACAATTACAACAACAATAGCAACAGCAATAGCAACAACAATAGCAACAACAATAGCAACAACAATAGCAACAATAATAGCAACAACAATAGCAACAACAACAAGAATTACAACACCAACAATTACAACAACAACAACAATTACAGCAACAATAGCAACAACAACAACAAAAAACAACAACAACAATAGCAATAAGAACAAGAACAACAAGAACAACAGCAACAACAATTACAACTAATAGTATGTAGCTGCTCTGAGCCACTTTAGGCAAGTGCCCGAGCTCTCTGGGTCCTGTCCTCAACGGAGAAAGCAAAAACTAACTAGATTCTTGATGACAATAACTTTTAATCAACCTTTCTCGTCACGTGCTTGCCGTCCCACAATGCAACTTGAGAGAAAACATTACACAGGAAAACCGAGACTTAGGTGCTATAGCTACGATAGTTATGCTACAAACTACAACAACAATTCTAAGTCCAAAGACTAAAGTATGCACAATGGTGATGGAAACAACTATTAGAGCGGATTTCGTATGAGTGGGAAACGGACAGTACATGTACTTTACTGTGACCGTAATCGTACTGTAACCAAATTCTTGTGCCCCATTGGTTTACCAAAATTCTGCAGGCCAAGTCAGGTAACTGTACAGTAACCGTGCGGTAACGGTGTCCCACTCATACGAAATCTGCTCTAGTAGTCGCACTTACAACAACAGCAACAAACAAAGCAAAATTCACGACTTTCAAAAATGGCACAATGGTGTCTTGCAAGAGTGTTTTGCTATAAACAACATACCAACACATCTTCCAAACTTTTGGACACTACCTTCATGCAATCTTCGTAGTGATTTCTAGATGTAAGACCTTTGAGGTCTCATTTCCATGATTCATTACTAGTCCCCCGATATTGATGGTCGTGAACTACCGCCATTTTTGAAAGTCGTGTATAGAGAGGGAAAAAAATCACAACAAGAGCTCAAGGTAAAAGCAGTTTGAGGAACAACTCTCATTGTTGTTTTGTTTTTACTTAAAGTGTCCTTTACACACAAAAATCGAGACATTTTAGCTTCAATATCAGTTTCATTCATCAACCTTTAGACTGAGTTTCATCCAGAATTTATACGTCTCGTATACACCAGATGAACACCAGGTTAATCAACCTCACCAGTTGCTAAAATGTTGTCTACATTAGAATATTAAAATACATGCTCCTTTTGCATGCGCAACAAGTTAACATAATAAATTTCCATAATTATAATATTACCTGGACAGACGTCTGAGCCTTGGTAATATGGTAGTATGAGCTATCTAATTTAAGAGCTGCCCCTCTATACATTTGACAAACTCCTTCAACCATACCACTTCTTAGCTGAATATTTTTCTCTCCTGCAAGGAATAGTGTTAAAACAATATGTCAAACGGCACTTGTCTAGGAAATAGTATACTTACTGGTGTACTATTGGAGGTATACTTACTTAATTTCCTATGAAATGGTCTAAGGAAGAAAAATAATTTTATCGTTAAATATCTAAAAAAAGTATAAATATAAAAAGTTATTCTTACGAAAGGCTTTGGAAATGTGACATCTGCCTTTGAATTCAATAGACTTCTGAACCTTTTACGTCACTACTTGATTTTCAATGCATTGTGGGATCAGTTTAAAGAGAAAACAAAAGAAATCCGCCATGTTTTGTCTCAAACATGTCCTACAATGCATTGCGTATACGGTACATGACGTAAAAGCTGCAGAGGTCTATTGTAARCTAAATATCTAAACTTTTTAAACTTACGTATCATATTTGTATTCTAGTTTGTGTCTCTTGGCCTTCTCAACTTTCTTCTTATCAGAAGAATTATCACCAGCTTCTTTTGTCTCCTCTAGYTCAGTTGTCAAGGCAACATGCCCTTYACTATCAAGTGGCTCTTCGGCTTGCATCGGGGCCCCATAAGGGTCGCCCTTCTGTGTTTCATCATCTTCATCTTCGTCATCTGTCTCTGATGCCTCCCCTGATACCATAGTACTGGTTACCATGGTATTGGTTACCATGGTATTTTTCATGAATGATGAGACTGGGCTGGAGTCGTCGTCTGACTCKGCCCCTTCACCAGAGGTGACATTTGATGTCATTTTTCTTGGAAAATTCAAAATAAAAACATCATTTTATTAAATACATATTAAAAACAATAATAAAGCTTAGATATTTTATATTAAAATGTGGCTACAAATGAAAAGGATAATCAACAGTTGATTTTTTATAAAAATATAGCTGGAATGTTGTGTTTTGACCACAAAACACTATTGAAGTTCGCCAGTGTATCTGTGTCCGTRACTCAGAAATATAGTTTTACTCTTTGAAGCAAGACTTAAAATAGCATAAATGTATGTWTTACTTACATCGCTGCCAGAAATCTGTAAACTTCACGTTTAATTTCTTTGAGAAACACAGAAAACTGTACGCAAAATACAAGAAATATTGTGATGGGAATATTTTTGTCGCAAGGGCTGATGGGATATTATACCACAGGAAACCCAGGTTAGGAATGTTGATGTGAAAGTTTCGAAGTGCTTATCACGTAAAAGGTTTAGGAAACAAGATTTAAGCAAAACATATTAAACATATTTTTATTCATTGTTTCAATTTTTTGCACTTTCTATTATTTACAAGCAAGCAAATAATTAATATTTTATCAGACATTGAAATTTGGATTACCTGTGCTATTTCCAATCTCCACTCAGCCTGAGCAAGGAACGCCTGGTCAGATTTGGTGGTGGTGCAAGACCTCGAAGATGGATTTTCTCAAGGATTTTTACTATTGACAAGCCTGAAATGCTCCCAGGATGAGATTGACAGAGCTGCCCAGACTCACTGTGTCCCTRAGAGCATTTTCTGGGGTTTCTGCTCCAATTGTCAGCAGTGGTTGTGACTVTAGCGATGAGCTTGTTCAAAAGAGACAACAAAAGGCTCTAAGGCAGAGAGAGAAGGAATTATCGTGGAAGCAGTTGAAAAGTCTAATACTTGATACTGTATCAGATGACAGAAATGCGAAGGAAGAGGTAGTTTCAAGTATTCTTTCGTATTTAAGGGTATTTCAAATCTCTGCCTTGTTGAGTACCATCGCTCTTTAGATGCGACTGGTACCCAAAACCTGAATTTTATTTTTTCATACACGTCACAATTTAACCTCAGTAAAG